ATGCTTATTCTAGCTCCTTCATTCTTATTTATCTGTTTTCTGTTTGACTCTACACTATGTTCTTAACCTAATTATATATTTTCAAACACATACAAAGCTAAATTAAATATATCAAATATAAGAAATTAACTCGAATGTATTTTTAAGCTATCACATTATATTTAACACTCTCTCATAATGCAGAAACTTACAAGACTAATTATTTGTCTAAAATATTTAAACTTTGCCAAAAGAAGAGCTTTTGTAAACATATCAGCTAGCTGGTCATTTTTATTGCAATATCCAATTTGTATGCTTCCTTTTGTCACCAATTCTCCAATAAAATGATGTCAAGTCTCGATATGTCTTGTGCAACTATGATAAATAGGATTCTTCGTCATAGCAATAGTGGACTGATTGTCACAATAAATGATAGTTGCCTCTTGCTTTTGCTTTATGTCTTCTAAATTCTTTGCAACCACACTGCCTGACAAGTTGCTAAAGTTACAGTAATGTAGTCAGTTTCCAATGATGATAAAGGTGTAGATGTTTGCTTTTTTGAGCTCCAAGATATGACACTTGATCCTAAACTAAAAACATATCATGTGGTACTTTTGCAATCATCAACACAACCTGCTCAATCACTATCCGAATATCCATGCAAATTCAAATTACCAACACTATAAAATAGACCATATGAAATTGTTCATCTCAAGTATCTTAACACTCTTTTTGCTGCCCTATCGTGTATCTTACTTGGTTTTTGTATAAACTTGGACAAAAGACTAGTAGCTTACAAGATGTCCGACCTAGTATTAGTGAGATATAGTAGGTTTCCTACCAAACTTTGATAAACATGAGCATCAACTTATTCTTCTCCATCTTTAGCACTGAACGTTTGATTAGTTGCCATTGGAGTTTTCACCATATTGCAATCTTTGCAACCACACTGCCTGACAAGTTGCTAAAGTTACAGTAATGTAGTCAGCTTCCAATGATGATAAAGGTGTAAATGTTTGCTTCTTTGAGCTCCGAGATATGACACTTGATCCTAAACTAAAAACATATCCTGTGGTACTTTTGCAATCATCAACACAACCTGCTCAATCACTACCCGAATATCCATGCAAATTCAAATTACCAATGCTATAAAATAGACCATATGAAGTTGTTCATCTCAAGTACCTTAACACTCTTTCTGCTGCCCTATCGTGTATCTTACTTAGTTTTTGTATAAACTTGGACAAAAGACTAGTAGCTTACAAGATGTCTGACCTAGTATTAGTGAGATATAGTAGGTTGCCTACCAAACTTTGATAAACATGAGCATCAACTTATTCTTCTCCATCTTCAGCACTGAACGTTTGATTAGTTGTCATTGGAGTTTTCACTATATTGGAATCTTTGCAACCACACTGCCTGACAAGTTGCTAAAGTTACAGTAATGTAGTCAGCTTCCAATGACGATAAAGGTGTAGATGTTTGCTTCTTTGAGCTCCGAGATATGACACTTGATCCTAAACTAAAAACATATCCTGTGGTACTTTTGCAATCATCAACACAACCTGCTCAATCACTATCCGAATATCCATGCAAATTCAAATTACCAACGCTATAAAATAGACCATATGAAGTTGTTCATCTCAAGTACCTTAACACTCTTTCTGCTGCCCTATCGTGTATCTTACTTGGTTTTTGTATAAACTTGGACAAAAGACTAGTAGCTTACAAAATGTCCGACCTAGTATTAGTGAGATATAGTAGGTTGCCTACCAAACTTTGATAAACATGAGCATCAACTTATTCTTCTCCATCTTCAGCACTGAACGTTTGATTAGTTGCCATTGGAGTTTTCACCATATTGAAATCTTTGCAACCACACTGCCTGACAAGTTGCTAAAGTTACAGTAATGTAGTCAGCTTCCAATGATGATAAAGGTGTAGATGTTTGCTTTTTTGAGCTCCGAGATATGACACTTGATCCTAAACTAAAAACATATCCTGTGCTACTTTTGCAATCATCAACACAACCTGCTCAATCACTATCCGAATATCCATGCAAATTCAAATTACCAACGCTATAAAATAGACCATATGAAGTTGTTCATCTCAAGTACCTTAACACTCTTTCTGCTGCCCTATCGTGTATCTTACTTGGTTTTTGTATAAACTTGGACAAAAGACTAGTAGCTTACAAGATGTCCGACCTAGTATTAGTGAGATATAGTAGGTTGCCTACCAAACTTTGATAAACATGAGCATCAACTTATTCTTCTCCATCTTCAGCACTGAACGTTTGATTAGTTGCCATTTGAGTTTTCACCATATTGAAATCTTTGCAACCACACTGCCTGACAAGTTGCTAAAGTTACAGTAATGTAGTCAGCTTATAATGATGATAAAGGTGTAGATGTTTGCTTCTTTGAGCTCCGAGATATGACACTTGATCCTAAACTAAAAACATATCCTGTGGTACTTTTGCAATCATCAACACAACCTGCTCAATAACTATCAGAATATCCATGCAAATTTAAATTACCAACGCTATAAAATAAACCATATGAAGTTGTTCATCTCAAGTACCTTAACACTCTTTCTGCTGCCCTATCGTGTATCTTACTTGGTTTTTGTATAAACTTGGACAAAAGACTAGTAGCTTACAAGATGTCCGACCTAGTATTAGTGAGATATAGTAGGTTGCCTACCAAACTTTGATAAACATGAGCATCAACTTATTCTTCTCCATCTTCAGCACTGAACGTTTGATTAGTTGCCATTGGTGGAACTAATAGCTTTGAGTTTATAATATTAATTATTAGTTATTAAATATGAGTTTGAAAATATAATTTTTTAACAAGTATAATTTAATAATTAAAAATGAACATTTCTAATAAATACTTATAAACTCAAACTTACAGCATCACCACCCTCTTTGAGTGCATCTTAACTCACCATGTGGCCGCAGTTGAACTATTCTGTGTTAGACCATGTTTCATTTATATATAAACATTTATACTAATTCCTATACTATATCTAGTTCTAGTTGGTGGCATTGCATAACCATATTTTTATTTGAATTACCTCCTTTCTCACCTTCAATTCTCTTGTAGGTTCCCAATTTTCATAGTAGAAATTCAAAATTCAATATAGAGTTGGAGATAGCTTAAGTATAAAAATTATTATTTGAAAAGTCATTGATTCTAATTGTTCTGTTCATTTATTTGGAAATTTTTTTTTTTTATGGTAAAATAGATCTAGTTTATAATAAAGATTTATTATAAATAAGAT